AAAGTAATTTGCTTATATAAAACTGAAATCACATTTTTTTTCTCTTCCACAAAAAAGATTTTTAAAAATACAAAAACCAATGAAATTTAATTTAATTAGAATTAGAAGAAAATTATATAAATTGCTTGAAACACGTTTTCTTAAATCAATTGAAAATTTTTAATTTGATTTTAGATCCAAATTATTTTCATTTTTACAAAGAATTGCTTAATTATCAAATATGTGATTTCACTATCAGTTTTACTGTCATTAAATTTTACCCTACTACAAGTAGTGACAGTTGTTGAAATAGTACAAAATTAGCTATTTTATATGATGACCAATGTGGGTATGTCCACAATATTATTATAATCATATTAACAGTAATTACCAAGTCTTGAGAATATAATACTAATAAAGTCATTAAAGAATTACTATTAGTGGTTCAAGTATTAGTTTAACTATGAATTAATGAGTGTTTTTCAATGACAATCATTAAGTGACTTTTATTTTGGCATGAATTTCTCATCTTTTGATGTTAACAATATTAAATAAAAAAAGGAAAAAAAAAACATAGATGTTATGCAAATAAACATTGTTTTATGTAAAAATTGTTTCTTTATTTTTCTCATTGTTTTGTATAACAATACTGTGTAAAAGTCTTCAGCATTTGTATGGCTGACTTTTCATTTCTGAGGAGGTCTGTCTACCTGTGAAAGTGCAGTGTGGTGGCCCAAATGTAGGCTAGCAGTTTGATGGTTGTGAAAGTGTAGAGGCCCAAGTTTAGGCTAGCAGTTTGATGGCTGTAAAAGTGTGGTGGCCCAAGTTTAGACTAGCAGTTTGATGGCTGTGAAAGTGCAGTGTGGTGGCCCAAGTTTAGGCTAGCAGTTTTTTGAGTGTGAAGGTGCAATTTTGTGGTTCAATGTAGTAGTGTAAATTCTGTGTGATTGTGTAATCATTATCAGACTGGAAAACAATTGTTAAATTAATTTTTGATTCTGGATTAAACCAAATTGACATTAACATCTTTGGGAAGGACATGAATTGACTTTTTCCTGCCTAGTCTCTCATCACCAGATATCTTGTCAAAATGTCTTGTCTTGGGTTATGCCACAACAGTCGATGTAGAAAAGATTGGGTAAGTGAGCTACTTCAACACATCACTCTTTCTTACTTGCACATATAGTAGCATCACATGCTATTACACCAGTTATCAACCTTGCCATATATCTTGAATGCAATTGCATTAAAATCACTCTCAAGGTTTAGCTCTAACAAATTTTCTCTTTATCCATATTTTAAATTCAATTTTGATTAATTACCAAATTTTAACATTGAATAACTATATGTACATAAACACATTTTAGAATTGACAATCCCTCATCAGCAACACCAACACTTCCATCATAATTAGTAGTATATAATAACTCGTACATAAGTCTTTCTTTCCACCTGTAATGTGTGTGTGATGGTTGTCTTCTTGTTGAGTATGACTATTTCTAATATATTAACATATAAATTAGTTACTGCACTTATAATTTACACTGTGTTGTAATCTAGGGAAGCTTACTGAACAAAATAATCACACAAAGGTTGGTAATGAATGATAATCGTTAGAATATGAACAATGTATAAGATACTCACATTGGAGGTTTTTTTCTTTGGACTTTCAGCTTGAACTCTGGACGATTGTTTTAGCCTTAGTTTAATGTTCTTGGTTCTTTTTTTATTCCTCGTTTTTCCTTGGGTACTGATTTGTTCTACTACAAGTCGAAATATCCAAGGTTTTTCCAAGCAAGTACCACCATTTATAAAGATATTTTTATGTTTATACAGTCTTTTTATAGATACAAACATTTAAGTAAATGCTCAGTTTATAATAAACAGTATTAAACAACATTTACCGGCCTGAATGTCAAAGAAATTTTCATAGAAAATATACGTCCTCCGACAGGAATTGAACCTGTAGCCTATATGGAACTGTCATATAGCCTGATGTGCCTTAACCAATTGGGCCACAGAGGATCATTCGGTTAGCAAGGTCGATTTTACTCATATTATAAACAGAGCATTTACTTAAATATTTGTATGTATAAAAAGATTGTATAAACATAAAAATGTCTTAAAATAATTGTCGGATTTTGTCCATTTCATTATATATATATATATATATATATATATATATATATATAAAATTAATCAGAAGTATCAATACGATTATTGGCGACATCCGTCACTAGAAAACATAATATATGCATTAAAATCCTGTTCATCCATAGTGCGTAGTTTTGATCCTTGAAGAAAAACTTGTTGTCTGTAGTTTTTCAGTTTATTCGATGTTAAAATGCTAGTATAGTACTTACGGACGGCCTTCCATCCATCATCAGGCATGTTTTTTTTCTTATAAAATCAAAAAACTTGAGACGATATATCTGTATATCGACCGAAAGATGTTTTTTGAATATCTGCTATTATTGACGGTTGTAAGATCTCGAACGTGCAAAGACATAACGCTAAGTTTTTTCAAAATTTTTTAAGTGAGAATTTTATTTAAATATTTCTTGTGATGTGTTAAATCCACGTATTCTATTTTTACAAGTGTATTCAGTTTTTATGTCATGAACTAAGTATATAGTTCAATAATATAGTGTAATGTCATAATAGTAATTTTTTATAGGAATTTTTTATGTACTGCGGATCGATAGTTTTTAATAAACATAAAACATTAGGCAGCATATGATTTTTGACATACAGATATATCGTCTCAAGTTTTTGATTTTATAAAGAAAAAACACATGCCTGATGATGGATGGAAGGCCGTCCGTAAGTACTAGCATTTTAACATCGAATAAACTGAAAACTACAGACAACAAGTTTTTCTTCAAGGATCAAAACTTCACTATGGATGAACAGGATTTTAATGCATATATTATGTTTTCTAGTGATGGATGTCGCCAATAATCGCATTGATACTTCTGATTAATTTATGTGTGATTAATTCTTGTATGTAAATATATGCTGCCTAATGTTTTTATGTTATATATATATATATATATATATATATATGTATGTATGTAGGGTCACTGTTATTTGTAAACACTTGTATGAATTTAGTAAAAGAGAGATAAGTCATGAAAGAAGTGCTTTATTTAAGAGAAAAATTGGCATGAATAATCTTGAGACTCTTTTTAAGGCACTTAATTAATCTGGCATTAATTAATTTATTAATGCATTAATTAATATGGTATTAGCATCAATGATGGCTTCAATATGAGGTCTGAAGTGTTGACATGCTCAAATAAAATGACCCTTATCTATTTTGGACATTTTTGCATTATGGCAGGCTTCAGAGATTTTATAGTGTTATGGGGGCAAGAATTCTTGACCTTTGAGAGCATTTCCTGAGTACATTATTATTTCACCAGAAATCAATGTAATAGCATCAGCAAAATCAAAAATCAGTGATGACAATGATTGGAATTATTATTCTTCTTAATATTCTTCTGAGTTTAAGGCCAAGACTTTTCTCTTGACCTTGTAGTGCTCATCTCATTGAATAATCTAGACTGATGGTGAAGGGGTAGGAAGCATGTGTATCACCTTGTAAGACACCTGAAATCTTTAAGAGGTGCAACCTCGATGAGATTGTGCACCACATTTGCCAACAGTTTATTAGCTAAAGAGGAAAAGCCAAACCATTGGAGTATCAGAAATATCATCCCTGTATCCAAGAAAGGTTCTCTGAATAAATAGAACTACAGGACCATCAACTTAATATCCTTGAAAATTACTATTCAAGGTCCTAGTTCAGTCATTGGTACGAAGTATGCAACTATCTCAGCCATCAGTTATTCTTTGCTTTTCAAGTTGTCATTTCATATGTTCAACCAGTTCGTTCCTTTTTGGGTGGATAATGTGTTATATGATAACCTATTGTATTTAATAAACAGTATTTATAAAAGCTTAAGTGACAGCCTCAATAGGAAGATGCAAATATTTTACACAGAAATTATAAATGTATCATTCTTTCTATTGATATAAAATAAATGACTATGAAAATATTTAAATCTGTCAAACTTCTTTATGACAATTTTGCTAACACCCATTTTACTGCAGACACAAATGACTTAGTAGTGCAAGAATTTTGACTGTGTAATCATGACTATCAGTACTGGTTTATTCTAAAAAAGAACTTCTTGGATGAACATTAACTTGTACTTATTGTTAAAAATGTTTCAACAATTAATATTACTACTACTACTGCTAACCTACATTTTAACCAAATATTAATATTATTGTTAAAAAACTAATTCAAACTCTTACATCTCTATGTACTCTGCTGTCAATAAATAAGTCAATATGAATAAACACAAAATATAAACAAAAATATTCTGTGGCTCTTTTTTTCTTATTTTTTTTATTAATCAACAGAAATTTTTATTTATTTTATGTTCTCCTTTAGAAATCACTACATTATTCCAACTCATTTAAATACCATGTTTGGCAGCCTCTATTTGATGTCAAGTCTCTTTCTATAAAATTTGGATTAAGATTATTTGCTAATACTAATTATTACTAAGCTTAATTACTATTAAAATATTGTCTCTGGTATGCCACTATGGCTGATGAAGTGGCATGCAGACATATTAAGGATTCTTCTCTTATTTTCTTATTAATAAAGATCAAGAAAATGACTTTGTAATTAGCAGTTAATAGACTTGGAAGAATCTCCCTTGGGCATACTATCTTTTTCACTTAATGAGAAATTACTTAGAATCCTGTGACCAGTTTTACTGGAAATTGTTTTATTCTTCAAGTAAGTGCAGAACCATTAAAGTGCTCTATGTTGTGCTTTTTTTTTTGCTGGGTTGTAATGACATCTATACATACAATGGTTTATTATAATATACATATTTAAAAAAAACATTTGTCTCAAAAATATATTACCTATCCTCCTTTTTAAATAAGCATCATCTTAAATTTTTTTGGTTATAAACATTCTGTTTGATTTTCTGATTCAGGGTTGAATCGGGAGGAATTGTTTGTCGTCGAAAACCCTGTAAATTGGAAGACAAACTTTGCATTGAAGACAAAACATTGACCATTGGATGGGAGTTTATTTCTATCCCTTCTTATCCCTATGTCTTAGAAGAGCCACTTACCCTGGTAATGGTACGTACCAGAGGTTACATCTTTTACCCAAAACTCTTTCTCACCTTGGAAGAAGGTAATGAACAACGCCTTTTTGATACAGTCATCCATGAATCTACAGGTAAGTTGTACAGACCTTATTTTTTTACTTTTTAATTATGTTACTTGTTTAAACCTTCCGGTGTCATTGGCTGTAAGTAATCAATATTTGTCTAGGAACTTAGTTTAATCTGGCACAAGATAATGTCATAAAAGAGGTTTACCTTGGGAATCAAATTTTCTAACAATGGCTCTATAAACATTGCTCACAGGATAAATTTAACCATTTATAAGACCTTACTGTTCCACATTAAAATATTCATAAATGAATAAATTGTTAATTATATATAAGTTTGTCACTTAGCTGATTGATGTTATCTCTGTCAGGGGATATCAGTAATTAACTGTTTATATTTCTCTTTTTTATTTTATATATGCATTTTTCATTGGTGCACAGTCAATTTTTATCCTTTCCACCTGCACATATGTGTATATGTATAGAATATTATAGTTATTTCTATGATAAAAATATAGTTTTAAGGTACACTATATTTATAGGTAAAAGTACTGAGTATCAGCGATAGAGCATATGTAAATATAAGAGCGGACAACTGAGAACATGACACAAATAATAAAAAGGTACAACAGAAAAATAACCAACAAACCAAACCCACCTGAAACTGCAGAGCAATAAACGAATGTCCCTTTCACTGCAAGTGCTTGCAAAACAATATAATATACCAAGCCACTGTAAAATCAGCTGATAATGAAGAAAAAATATACAGGAATAAACTATTTTCTTCATGAATAGTAAATATGCAAACAGCACAGCTTTCTAAACATATATGGGAAATTATAAACCAAAACCAAATTATACCAAAACTATCATGGAAAATAGGAAACACAGCATCAGCCTACAATAATAAATCCCAAAATTGTAAACTTTGGCTTGAGTTGAAAATAGCTATAATCACTTTTCCAGACCAACACAAATTACTAAATAAACAATCAGAACTTTTACTACATTACTTAATAATCAAAAGCTGAAAGTGAATACCTTATAAAATACCACCATACTAAATGCAAATATATGCACCATGTACAATGCAGATAATGTAACATACTTTAGATATAACCAGAAAAAAAACTTTTTAAATATAACCTGAAAAAATAAACAAAAAATCTAAATAAATTAACTATGAATACACACATAAACAATTGTTGATTATTATTCTTACATAATAAGTAATCAATAATAAATAAAAAGTTAACAAAGAACACTATAACATAGAATTTGGAGCCACAATTATTTCTACTCAGTAGCCTCTAAAATAATTTGAAACATAACCATTACCACCCACCCAATAACTGTTAGGATAATACAACAGACCTTCTTACCCATAATGCACCATTGACCAGTATATATAAATAATTGAGTCAAAATGCAACACATTGCCTGGGGATTTCATTCAAGCCTGAAACAGATTGTTGCCACTTGATGTTGACCTCAGTGTCCACTATATATATATATATATATTATATATATATATATATAATGTTGTTTATACGTTATTTTAATAGATACAATTTATCTAAGTAGATGCTGTTTTTTTTAAATAAACAGTATTACATTTACTGGCCTGAATGCTTTCATGTGCAGATATGATCTTTTGGGAAAGATCATTGAAGATTTGTTGTTTATAAACAGTAATTAGGACTTTGCTAACCAGACATTACACTGTAGCCGAGTGCTAATGCATGTCACATCAATTGATGGTTCTGTATAGGACACAAGTTTGATTCCTGTCAGACAATGCATATTTTCTACGATATTTCTTGAACATTTAGTCCTGTAAATGTAATTAATAATGTTTATTTAAAAAAACAGAGCATTTAATTAAATAAATTGTATTTATTAAAATAACATATAAACAAAAAATATATTAAATAATTGTCGGACTTAATCCATTTCATAATGTGTGTGTGTGTGTGTGTGTATTTAGACAGCAAACCTTAATACAAGTTTTATTAAAAATGATTGACAAAGTACTTCTAAGTTTTTTTTTGTTTTTTTTTTATTGTATTATCCTTGTAGGTAAACAAGGGGGTTTCTTTTCTGGACAGAGTGTATGGAGAAATTGTTCAAATGATTTTTCTTTCTGAGCAATTTCAGTAATTAATGTCATTTTCAAGGATTTTATTTGTGTTATTGATTTACAGCATACTCATCAATGACACAATATAACCTCTAGCTGTAAAAAAAAAAAAAATCTAAAAATCTCTCACCATAAACAGCAAAAAATATCCATAACATCAACTATGAACACAGACATAATATACTGGCCATGTTCAAGAATTAAAATATACATCTATATCTCAGCAATTTACACACCATTTGCAATAGCACAACAAAAATCCTTGGAAATAGTTAATATAATATTTGAGAGCACTGGGAATGAATAATTACTTGAACAATTCTATAGTCTAAGTCCCAAAAATAAATATCTTGTTTGCACACAAGAAAAACAGAATAAAAATCATAACAGAAGTAACTTGTCAGTTATTTTTAATGAAAGATATAAAACGAGATCATCGCCCTCTCTAATGAAGAAGGTTGAAAGGAGCATCTGTTGAAATGTGATAAAAATAACAGACGGAAATACTAGTCAAAACAACTGCATCTATTTATTCATACAAAAGCTCATTAGAAATTAAGGGATAATTGCTTTTATGCCTCCCACTGGTTAGATAGAAATTTAAGGAAAAGAAGAAATTGTGGCAGATTACCAAAGATGATGAAGGCATGAACTTAGTTATGACCACCTTTTATGGAAAGATTTTTTTTATTTTCAACAGCCACTGAATAAAATCTAAGGGAAATAACTCCTTATGATCATTAAAAAATGAAAACTTAAAGAAATTTGAGGAAAATGATAGCAAGTTAAAATTTCTTATTGAAATTTCGCGATTAAATTCTACCATCAGAAATTCATCCGACAAATTGGTTGTTGAAAAAATTTCTAATATTCAGAAATATAACAATTTGGACTCAGAGAATATTTTATAGAAATTAATGACAGAAACAGAATATGCAGATAGGGCAATGGTTCAAATTCTGTGTTAGTCTGTTGCATTTACTTTAGCACAAATGCATAAATCTGTTTCTTCTCTTCCCAGCTATGGATTAAATTGCAGTGTACAATGGAATGTCTAGCCTAAGAGAAGGAAAAAACTGAATCCCAAACTGTTGTAGAAGGCAATGGGAAACCACTCCACTATTTTTCCCAAGAATGCCTGACAATTCACAGATAAAGAAAAATCTGTGGAGAGATATAATTGCCTACATCCTAAAGGGATTTGGTATTAAAAAAGAAAAAAATTGAAAAGTGACAAAGAAAGTGATTTTTTGTACTAGTTCTATTGGTATGATTCATATGAAGTTACTATAGAGCAGTTTGGAAAGCCATTGTTAGTAAGTTTAATAATTCTCATATTTTTGATTGCATAGCAGCAAATAGCAGACAGAAAAATGAATATTTATAAAATTTGGTTTCAGAATCCAAAATCAGCTGCAGCTTTAAAAAAAGCAGTTGGTCTAAATTCCTGAAATGAGGAATTATCAGTAATATACAGACTGTGGCAAAAGTAACACTTTTTTACTTTAACTTTTATTGAACAAAAATAAATGACATTAGTTTAAGAAAATTTATAAGTATTGTCACATCAAGTCAAGCTGATTTGTTATGATTAACAAACAAAATGCTTCTCTTCATGTTCAATAAAACACTGAATCCCATCAGCAACACTTCTTCAAAATATTTGACACATTTCTACATTAATTTCCGAAAATTTATCAGAAATCTCGTTTCAATTCAAGAATTGTTTTCGGCTTGACCCTGTAAACAAGATCTTTCAGTACAATCTGCAAGAAAAAGACTGATGGCGTTTGGTCTGGTGATCGTGATAGCCACTCAATTTCACGTCATCATATCCCCGTCAGCTTGAAATAAAAAAAGGCATTATTTTTGTCACACTGTACATTAATCATCTCAATTGTTGGTCATAATATTTAAGCTAGTGTCTTTTGCACTGGGTAACCTTTTTCAGATTGTTTTAATATCAGTTAATTCTTCCTTTCAAGGACTGAACGTACAATCACCAAACAAACATTAAGGTTAAATACACTTAAGCAATCCACTTGACCATTGTCTATTCTCTCCTAATTTGAGATTCCCATATGATATTAATTTCTATGTGTGACCTTCTGATGAGATTATTAGTACATAACCTATTTGCAGACTCTTTCAGTCATCTTATTTTCCAATGTTGTCCTATTATTCTAACATTATTCCATCTTTTCTCTTGATATATGATCAGCCATACTCAATTTCATAGTTCCTCATTGGATTGAGGCTTTTTCAAGTTTCTTTCCTGGCTGGCCATCCTTTCATATTCCCTCATGAAATGGTATATACACAATCCATAATATTTTTTTAAACTTGGGGCTCCATTGAGGTGTCTCTAAAATAATTTTGCATACTATTCTGATGTTATACAGCCTGCATATCATCTGAATACTTTCCCCCCCACCCTTCTATCTCTGCTTACAGGGGAGTGGTTACTTAATCTGACCCTCTCCTGTTGTTGTGTGTCAGGATCTCTAATTATAAGTTTTGCTTGACATTGTTATAGATGAACATCTATGGATGGTGAGAATTGACGTTTTAGTAATGCCCAGTAAATGTTCATTTAAAATATATGGAAGTCTTGAAGTTGTGTCTTTGATAAAGAAAAATAAGGCTCCAAAATTCTACTATGTTGCCTTCTTAGAGGAAAATATTAGTTAAGTGTATGTTGTTACTTGATGATTGTGAGTTCAATTTCTGGTTTAGGTAATGAAAAGCATATCCTTAATAGCAAAAGCAGCATTACAGAGAAACACAAGAAAAAACGCTCATATCAACTGAATAAAAGTTTAAAAATTTTTTTGAAGTTGTTTTTTGAAGAAAATCTTATTTAATCTATATTTCATGTCAATATGTCTATTCCTGATGCAGGGAATAAACTCACATCTCACTCAGAACCAGATAAATGTTCATTAGCACATTCATCCAGGCCAGGGTTAGGCAATCTTTTGCTATGTGCTGACTTAGGGTTTTAAAATCATTCAGTGTTCCAACAGCATACATATTTTTATAAAAGTCAAGGTCAATATATCTGTTCTACAACATATTTTATATAGTAATATATATAAACCACATTAATAGAAATAAACTGTTTTTTAAAGTTTTTGTTATTAATGGGAGTCCAGCAAGTGAGCAGTTCTGAAACAGTTAAATATCTTCTTTACATTGTAGTAGTTATTGGTTTGGACTTTGTGAGGTTATTTGCGGCTGTGTGCCATTGGAAATTACTTGGCATGCCACAGGTTGCTAACCCCTGCACTAGACCAAGTTTCATGGGACACTTTAAGGTTGACTCTCTAAATATCAACACTATATTGGAAATACTTAAGAAAAAAAGAGACATTAAACTTTTTAAAATCTCAACATGAAAGTTCTATAAAACACATGCACAAATAGATGAGTGTTGCTGAAGCTTAGCTGTTACCCTCTGTGAGTTATAAGTTCAATTTCTCGGTTAGTTAGTGCAGACATTATAGGAATACACCTGCAGATTAAAAATTTTCTTAAAGAATTTTGAACCATCTATTTGATCAATAGGGTAGATTGCTCTCATGCCTCTTTATAATTTTGCTAATGAACTAGACTACATGATTTTCACTGTTGCACCTAGAGATTGATCTTATAACAAATAATTAACCAGATACATTTAGTCAACACTTATCCATTATACCATTATCCTGTAATCACATAGTGGAAGGTGAAAGTCTCAACTTTATTATCTGTTCTTTCTTAATTCATAGCTTAGATGGTATAATGGATAACAGTTCAGAACTGAAAATCAGAGAGCTGAGTTCCAATTCAATATATTCACTTGCCTTTCCAAAGGGTATTTGCATGTATGAATCCACCCATTCTCCTCCAGCTATGGATTAATTAGTAGAACTTGTATAAGTAATTCTTTATTAACTCAAAAACAAATCCTACAAATCTAAAAATATTTTCTGGCTTTAAATAAACTACAAAAGGTTGATAAGCTGTAAAAAACAAAAACAAATCAATCCAATCTAACTCATAGCTCTGCTCAAATACAAGCTTGGACATCAACATCTTATACGAGCCAGTAATTAAGAAAGAACAGGCATGTTATTCAGGCTCTTGAAATCATTAAAAGACATCACCTAGTAATTAAATGATGTGTTTGGAAAGGTTTAGTCAGATCTTTGAATGTTGTGAGTTCAATTCCATATCATGGCAGAGAAGAATTAGTAAAAGAGAAAAGACAACTCAAAGAATTCCTTAGAAACAAGCCCAACATGTCATGTGACAAAGATAACAAACAAATTATTTTAAAAATCTCTTATTTCAGATATTTATCATTCAGGGGAAAAGATGAAATATTGGTGGTGGTGGTGGTGTGGGGGGGAAACATGAGAAACACATTTGCTGTGTTGTATAACAGTAGGGTTAAAGGTTATGTCAGTCGAACATAGAAATGAGCAAAGGTTTGCAAGATTTAGATGTGACTCATTTTGTTGATTTTTTACAGGATCTCTTCGGCTAATCAGACCCATCCAAGGACCCCAGGAATTCCACTTGCGAATGGTACTGGATAATTATAGCCAGACTCAGCACTTGCTTATTTCGCGGCATGTCACCAACGTCTATGTTCATGTTTCTGCTTTTCTTTTTTAATTATCAGCTATTTTCAACATAACACAATTTTTTTTTCTTCTAAATAAAAGAAGTAGTTCAAAAATATTAACCGTTCTGTGACCACATGACATCAAAATGAAGGTTTTTCTCTTCATTCTCTGGTTAGGCTTCATATTTACCAGCTGACAAGATGCATGCACTCCTGCTTTATGGGAAATTTTTTTTGGATTACTTCTGATTGTTTAACTGTTAAAAGTTTAAGCCTTTGCTTTGATATTAGCCTCCTATCCATAATGCGGTGCATTGGATGCAGTATAATATTAAAACTTTTGTGGGTAGAGGAGGAATATCTAAGAGGCAAGCAATTTTATATATATATATATATATATATATATATATATATATATATATGATTAGAGGCAGGCAAATGATTATATATATAATGTTTGTACATTTAAAGAACCAATATGAAGAAATTTAATAAAAAAAAAAAAATATTACTGATTTAAAACACAAAAGGCATTAAGAAAGAAGTTTGTTACTCAGATTTTTATATTCGAGTTGAGTTTAAAGATTGTAAATGATCACAGTGAAAAACGGACATGTTGAACTTCTTAAACTCAGCTGAGTTTTGTAAATTTTACAGTTAAAAGGACAAACCTGAGAAAATTTATGGCCATTTCTGTTTTGGCTTGAACTGTTTTCTTGAAAATATATTTGTACTAATGAGCTCTAATATTTTGTAGACGACCTTAAAACTGTAAGCACCTTCAGTCCTCTACATTGCCACTAAACCATAATCCTTTCAACTACTTGTTGGATAAAGTTGAAATTTGTTTGGATTGAATATTTACAATAATCTCTACATTAACCCTGCATTAGTCACATTAGATTTCTGAAAAGAGATAGTCTCTTGGTGCCTGCCTCCCACGACAACTGAGCTACAAACTCACCACACCATGTGCTACACACCCTCACTGAGTTGAAGGAGTAGTGGGAGGCAGCAAAAGAAGCAAGTTTCCAACCAGACATTACGAGTATTTTAAAAATTTGGGAAAACAAAACAACCCATGTGATTAACGCAGAATTAAAGGATCCTGTTTATTTTTTTTATTATTATTGTTGTTTCTGCAATTATGAGACTGGATTGATTTATTAATTAATCCCACCACCCACCCAAATCTCCATTTCCTCTGTATATTTCTCCACCCACTCGGTATCTCCAGCTACAATAAACATTCCTGTTCTATTTTCCTTCCTTCTGGAATCTCATTTCAATCCTAAACCCGGTGTTGTTTGCTGTACAATTTCTTCCTGAAAGTGAAAAAAACCCAGAAAGATACTTTTTGTTAAATTGGTTTGTTCAATAAAAAATTATAAAATATTTAAGATCAAATCTTGTTTTTTTTTTCTTTTTTTGCCTGTATAGATTTGGTTCACATAAGATTGTTTTTTTTTTTTTTTAAATTAACAGTTTTTGAATGTCAGGCCCAGGCTGAAATAATGAATAAATGTTACATTCATATTTCTCTTTCAGTCATGTTCAATTTTAGTATTTCATTTCCAAGAGGAGTAATTATCAATATTCTTGTATTATTGCAAACTATTTTTATATTAATCAAGATGAGAACAATAATTCAAAATAATACAAGAATATTCTTCAACTATCTTATGACAATCATTTCTAAAGAATTAATTGATTTATTTTTAATCCTACATTTTATGCAAATTGTTTTGTAGCTTTTATTGTTTAATGAAAACGTTGATCCAAGGGAGAGAAATCCTGTTAACAAAAAAACTATGTTTAACTTTCGGATCCGTAAAAAAAAAAAAAAAAGAAAAAAAAAGAAAAAAAAAGAGAAAACTATGTGTCGAAAGGACGTTTTTTTTTTTTTTGTCACCGCTATTACTGTATATTACCATGACTCCCTCAGCAATGTTGTTTTAAAGAGATATATTTAGAATTTTAATAATAACAAAAACGTTATAATATCTAGATATTAGATTGTATATTTACATGATTGTAAAAATATGTAAACCAATTACAATGCAACATCATTTACTGTTTTAGGTAACTCCATGAGATCGCTAAAAAAGAGCATAGCATGATGAAAAAGATGACAAACTTGACAAAAACAAACTTTTATCATCTAAATGTTTGTTATTATTAAGAGGAAAGATCAAAGTATTTTGGGGGTATTTTTTTTACATTTTTTCATCGTTCCTAGCACGTCTGAAATTTTCGTTAAAAATCTTTTTTTTTTTTTGAATCAGCAAAATTGACAGATAATCAATCATGTCAACCATTTTTTTCCATTTTATAAAAAAAATAAAAATAAAAAAAATGAAAATCTCAGTTTGAAATTCTTTTAAAAAATCAATTATAATTTTTTCAAAACTTATTTTAAGAAAATCAGAAATTATAATGTTTATTTAAAATATTTTGAACCAAGCTTAATTTCTGCACCAAAAAGATGTGGTTTGAAAATAAAACAAAGCAGGTCATAACATTTCGTGTCACTTGACAGGTGATGAATGACATATTGATGGATTATGTGAGGATAATTTGTTCTATGGAAGGAGAGAAGTGAAATTATTTAGATTTAAGTGAACAAATTATTTATATTGTTATTTTTAATGAAAACTTTCAGCACTCTAATTTTTTTTTGTATTTAGCTTTCACCTTTACGTTTACGATGCTTTATGGAAAATACATTATAAAGAAATTAAAATAAGACTTGAGAGTGAGATTAAATTTCATAAAAGGTATCTAATTAATTTATAGGTACCTTTCTTATGAAATTTTATCAGAAGTGTACATAAAATACTATAATTTTATGTACATTTATTACATTTTACTGTGTTATTTGTATTTCCATTCATTTTATTATTAATTTTGATATTTCATTTATGGAAAAATGTCATAACTGAGATTAATATAAAAATAAGATCATATAAATTTCATAAGATGATAATGATACTTGTAGGTACCCTTATCAGTTGAAATTGAAAAATCAAATTAACTTCTCCACACGTGTTTCACAAAAGTAAAGGCTTTAACAGTGGAGAACAATGCTTAACTCAAATAATGCAACTTAATTGTATTCTGGTTGGTCTATTGTACTTTATAATTACAGCCTGATTATAAACATAAAATTACATTTCATAATTACTGTGGGTCTTCTACATTTTACAATGTGGTAAAAAAGAGCTATTTCATAAGGACATTTACAAAACTGGATTTGGCTTTTAACTAATTTTATAATATTTTAACTTAAACATAAAAATCAAATTATATTAAAGAAATAACACATAATTGTATTAAAAATTCATTTTTCATCAAAAAAATTTTTTGCTTTCAGAAAATATTGTCTATATTCATAAAAGCAAATAAAAGCATTTGAAATTAAATAATATCTTTGTTTTATTGAGTTTTGTCTGTTACAATTCAGAGCTGATTTTCAGGTAGGTGGGGTCCAATTAAAAAAACAAAACAAAAAAAACATGATTTGCATTCCTCAAAGCCTTGTGCTTTTAACTATTCTAATCATTAAACTATACTCAATCGAATTTCTAGCGTTTTCATAAAATTAGTTATGGGGTTGGGGGTAATAAATAAAAAAAAAAAAAAAAAAAATATTTCTGCCATGACTTTAATAAAAAAAAAACATTTATAATAATTTCCATCATCTGTGAATAGTTTCTGAAAGTTTCATTAACATCCGACAATTATTTTTATTTTTGCAAGATTTTTCCAAATTAATGTCTGTCATACAAAAAAATGTGCTAAAAATAGTATATTTTACTAGTTCTGGTGATACAAAGAGAAACAAGGTTTTTTTTGTTTTTTTAAATCAAAATTTAGAATGTTCTTAAAAAGAAAAAAAAAAAAAAGAAAAATATATTAAAAAAATAATTAAAAAAAACTTTGGTCTTTCCTCTTAATAATAACAAACATTTAGACGATAAAATTTTGTTTTCATCAAGTTTGGCATCTTTTTCATCATGCTATGCTCTTTTTTTAGTGATCTCATGGAGTTACCTACGTTTTATAAAGAAAAAATATAGGAAAACGAATTTTTTTTTTTATTCATAAATTTATAAAAATATTTGAACCAACTATCATGAAATATTTATTTTCCATTTTATGAAGAAATAAATATAAAAAAATATTTTTTATTCATAAATTTATAAAAATGCCTGGGAACAAGAAAATTTAAATAAACACACTAAATAAAATAAAACAATGAGTAAATATAATTAACAATTTTGTAAAAATGCATTTTCCAGGCATTTCTTTCCTTTGCTCAATGAGAGACATAAATTCACTAAAAGCATCTCAGCCTCAGAATTGAACATTATTTTTATTCTAGATTTTATGTGAAACCACAGACACTTAATATTTTAGCATGTATTACTCAATTCACTGGGTGAACAAGATTTTCCTTGTGTATAATTACAGAATGCCTGCAATTTTTATCCAGGTATTTCTATTGATTAGGTATTCTTCATTATAGATCATGCTGATTAAAAAAATTAAAAAAAAAAAAAAAAGGAAAATTAAAATGAGTCATCGGAGATACAAAATAATCTAAGAAGAAAATGTATAATGTCTTGAAAAATTATGTTTATTTAAATTTTCTTATTTTATAGTTCAGACATTTTTTTAATAAAAAATTCTTTCGGATTTCTTTATAAAATGGTATTTAGCATTTTATGAATATTGCATTGTAGTTGGTTTTTTATAATCTTGTAAATAAACAATCTAACAACTAAATAATGTGCGACATTTTTGTTATTAAAATTCTAAACACAGCTTTTAAAAATAAACATTGTCAAGGTTGTAATAGCAGTAGTCTTTTGACACAAATGTTTTTGCAGGTTCAAAGGTTAAATTTTGCCCTCGTTCTGTTCTCCTTCCTTCTTAAATCTCATTTCAGTCCTAAAACTGGTGTCATTAGCTGTACAATTTCTTCCTAAAAGTGAGGAAAATAATAAAAACACTTTGTAAAATATTTAAGATCAAACTTGTTTTGTCT